ATCAATCAATAATAAAAAATCACCATAAACATTAATCATTGCAAACTAAAAAAAAAGAGTAATAATCTTAATAACATTATTAGCCTTTCTTGCCCCATTAAGCGATCTCGACATAAATTAGAACTGGTCAAGAACCCACTTCCATTGCTGCTCATGCTCATCACCAACATCAACAAATTCTACGAAATATGGTTTCATTGTCCGTGTATGAATATGTTTCTGTAATGCCAAATTCACATTTATTATTTAAATGATATACAAATAAGAAACTGTTTTAGCTTTGAACTGATTTGACATACCGTTACTTCGACCGAACAACCAATAGTCCATGAAAAATAACATGTATTTTCAAATCGGGCATAGTAACACTATTCTAAAAACGCGTAATAAAAAATTGTGTTTTAAAAAAAAGAGAAAATATATTCACATATCAAGGAATACGGGGGAAATGTGTTATTAATGATGAAGTACATCTATAAAACAAAAATGTAATATCAATATTAATTTTAAAAAAATATACCTGGCAAAAGATAAAATCTATTCTTTGTATAGTATTGTATTTTGGAATGCCTCAGAATTCTGTATTTTGAGATAATAAATTTTGAAAAATTATTAGTAATAAAAAATAATATAAATAACAAAGAAAACAAAGAAAATTAAAATATTTCTGGGTTATGTATTATTATTATCGTACTTCAGAACATTGTGCTTTACGAACTAACTCTTTGATATTAATCTTTCAGCAGCCAGATTCGCATTAAGGACGAGGGGGAAAACTTATTTTTCATTGAATCGATATGAGGAAGCGTTGACAGATTTGAATGCCGTATTGGAAATAATACTGAAGAATGTTGCTATATTAAGAACTCGATCAAGAATATATTATTTGACTAATCGCTTGGAAGAAGATATAGATACATCTTTATTAATTGAACTGGTCAAGATTAGCGCAATTTTGAATTGAACAGAAATAAATCAACTATTTGGACGGAGACTTCTGCCCTGCCAAAATCTCCATTGATAATATCCATACCATCGTTATATTCTTGTTCCATTGCTTTAATAATTAAATCGTTAGTTGTTTGTGTACCGCACCCAAAAATTATACTGTACATGTACTGTACATCGCATTAATAATCGACTGAACCATTTTTTTAGACATCGTGAAAAAAATGAATTCGTAACTTGTAAGTATAATATCAAATTGAAATGCGGTATGCTATACGTTATGCAGACTTATAGAATAAATTGCTGCTAGGAGTACTATAAATATAAAAATGCGAAAAAATAAATGCAATAATTAATCAACATTTTACTATTCTATAATACTGGCAATTATTTACAATAATAGAATATTATTTTGCATTAGTTACAGTATAATTATGAAATTATTTATTCAAGATATAAAAGAAAAAGCGTACCGTAGGTTTACCTAACGCCCCATGAAAAGACTTCGAGTCAGGATAATACTGACAGCAACATTTAGTAACACCTTCAAAAATGTTGCCGACTTAGTTTGAAATAATTAAATCTATCAGATTATTATACCATAAAGATTAATATATTAAATAAGATTTGGAATCCATACATTGATCCGATGCTACACTTGATGCCACAGCCACGAGTGAGCTCGAATTAAAGTAAAGTTCTTTAGGATAATCAGCAAGAATGAATTCGCTTTTTACCTATCAATAAAAATGGAAACGATAATGAGTTTTTATATCAAAAGAGTTATTTTGAATTTATTTAATAGACATACGAGTATCACACAGACAATTTAAAGTCAATAACCAACCCGAGATAGCAAAATAAAATACATACACGTGCTCCAAGCAGATTCACTTTTCATTATATTTATAGTCCCTTACTCCGACTCCGTATAATGCGAATTTGAAATCAATTCCAGCCGGAACCTTGAGAACTTGTATTTTTAGGAAATTCTGTATTCATTTTGTAATCTTGTGTTAATTGTGCGTGATCAACCTTAATATTAAAGAAGGTTACTTGGCGTTTCGTTCCAATTTTCATTTTACTAATATATTGTGTTGTGAATTATTGTAACTATTGAATAAGGTAGTTTTTATATTATTTTTTATGACTGTACATGTAATTCTTGGCGAATGACGAATGATATGTAGATCTTTATCAACTGACTATTAGATATTCGAATTAATTACTGCTTATGCCCAGGATGAACTGATAAAGTCTGGTTATTGATAATCTCAAACATCTAGACACCTCAATCAGCAAGAAAATTTAACTTCATGACTCTATGTTACTGATTTCAATTTCATCGAGTTGAAAAACATATCGATATCCGTGCCCATTAATAACGATAATGAAATTTCTTAAGCATAAGGTTGATTAAATCTACTGCATCACAGTTTTATAAATTTACAAGCTAATTTTTCATTTTTAATTTTTTCGTTACACATTGATCTTACGATTTGATTGGTTTACTCCTTAAAAAATAGCCTAGCCAGACATGTGTTTTCCGGGCCTTGTGAAAGAGATTAATATAAATGGTATTACTTTGGATATCTTGTCTTTGACGATCATAAAAATCATCAGTATACATGTAGTATTTAGTTGTCTAAAAAGATTACTAATAGCGATAGTAATAACCTGTTGTTCGTACATAGAGGCAAAAAAAAACACAAAAGTCTCACGAAGATCCCCAACGCCGCCGCCATCTCCTCCAGGCTCTTGCATAGCGTGCGAGGCGGTCTGAAAGGCAAGAATTAGCACCGTTCCGAAGGTAACTGATTAGTATATTCATTCATGTTAGTGATAGTTTGGTATTTATGTAATGATGCGAATACTTAGATTTCAATTAATGGATAAAAAGTTATTTTAAAAATCAGTTGAATTTTCCGGATGATAGATTTTCTTTTTTTATCCCTAGTTTTTATCAATCAAAATTTAAATATTCACATTATTCTATAAATATCAAACTATCAATACTAACCAGTTGCCTTTCAGACGAAAAGCATTTGAACAACCCGCCTCGCACGCTATGCAAGAGTCTGGAAGGGATCTCCGTGAGACATTTGCGTTTTTTTGCATTTATAATCA